GGTCTTGAGTGCCAAAGTTTTTGTGGACAAAGCTACTGGTGTTAGTAAATGTTTTGGTATGAACCTTAGACTTTCTAGTAATTCAATCAAAATCAGTATTTCCACCCTTGTGCCTATGAATGAGCTTCTTTCTGCAGGATTTGTAAGTTACGACTCTCCAGACGCTGCACAAACCGCAATCAAAATGATGAATGGTTTCCAACTAGATGGGAAAAAGTTGAAGGTTCAGCTTAAAAGAGATAATAAACAGAACAAATTTATTGATATAAAAGGCGGGGTATGGAAGGAAGCTGATTCTTTGCATCAGTGATACACACGCAAGCCACTACGGAGTTGTTGCAACAAGCAGCCACTGGGAGCTGATTTGAAACATTTAGCAGTGACATGGCAACTGAATGCTAATTGTAGGTCTCTTATGGATTAAAGGCAGAAACTTGTAATTGTTGTGCCACTGTAATCTGCAATTTGTACATGGAGAAAGATTCAGACATTTGTAAATTCAATGATTCTTCTAAATTGACTCGATCATCATTAGGTTATGATTTTTTGTTTCTTTTTCCTTCATATGGTCAAATGTAGCGTCTTCCTCCTCCCACCTTTCCTCTTTTTCAAAATGCATATATGGAAGAAAAAAGTTGAAAGATATACCCCTGAGCACCCCGCAGCATTCTGTTCCTTCTTCACCTCTATGCTCGTTAATTACTTTGTCTCAAGTTTGTCTTTGAATAGCCTATGAACTGATGTTATGAGGTCAGACAAAGTGGAAAGCATATTCATTTATGATTTAACAACATCTGTGAGGCAGCTGTTCGTTTCCCTTCTGAAACGCAGGTGCTCTGTGATCAACTTTGATTTTTTTATCTTAGATTGCAATATTGTTGCTTATCCTCATTTTTTTCTCATTTACTAATTTCAGGGTTTTGGTTCAGGTTGCAATCAGGTTTGGAAGGATGGTCAGATAATTGCTATCTTATTAGATTCAGCCACTATAGCTGTTCGGAACCCACAAACCATTCCGACGGTGGGTCAGACATTCCCAGTCTAGTTGGTGAGGTGCCGTTTTCCGTGGTGATTTGAAGAAACCATTTGATCTTGGTTTGATATATTCTGTAGTGACAATACATTCTTGCTTACTCCTGGTTAATTTCTAGGATGGGCTAATAACAGACTTAGAATGCTTATATAAATTCCTTCACAAAGTCTTGGGGTATATTTTTGAAAAGTTCTCCATGGTGATAGCTTGTGGCTTTCTACTTTGTGATTAGCGTTGTCAGCTTCAATTGCTATTAGTACTAGTAGTTATGTTCAAAGCTATTAGTTTAATACTAGCTAGTTGGAGCCATAAATTGGTGGAGGTTCTCATTCCTATGTGGATGGTTAGGCCTGATGTGGAATTCTATGCTATGTTTCTGCAGTTTATTGTTGAACTAGCAATGGTTTCCCCATAATTTCAATTGTTGGGTTGCCTCTGTTCACCTCCACTTTCTCAGAACCTCTCTTATTTGGTGGCGCATTCTAATTTAAGTATGATGTAAGTTGTCTTGTTATACATTGTGTTCGTCAGGATAGTCTCCACTTTTTTCCTGACTCTGTCCATTTAGTCTTACTTTGTACTTGCACTAATTGTTTGCACAAAACATAAAATTTTACACTGAACAGGAAAGGAGAATTAGGGTTGCAGACGTGTATCCTTGCCGAAGAAACATTGTTCCCTGTGTTTTTGGTCCAGTGTTTAGTTATGACTATCTTATATTTTGAAGTTCTTTCTGAGTGTCACGGCAAGAGGAGTTTTGGCATAACTGGTTAAGTTGTTGTCATGTGATCAGGAGATTACGGGTTCGAGTGGTGGAAATAGCCTCTTGCAGAAATGCAGGGTAAGGGTGCGTACAATAGGCCCTTGTGGTCTGGCCCTCCCCCTGACCTCGTGCATAGCGGGAGCTTAGTGCATCGGACTGCCTTTTTTTCTGATTGTCGCAGCAGCAGTTCCCAATCTTTTCCTTTTTCTTTTTGTTTTACTGGTGGTCTTTCCAGGACTGTGTCATAGAAGCTTGATCCATAGCATATTGTTTGCATCTACCACAGGATGTAGATAGTTGTCAAATTCTACTTTTTTATTTTAGAAATTAGTACGTAGAAATTATTGACTCTAAAGTGGTAGTTTAAGATTAAAATGGTAATAGTTCAGGTTGTTTGCAACAAATTTATGCAAAGAAAAATAAAACTGCAATCACAAATAAGAGAAAAATATTTTTACTAATCAATTGTGACTACAGTTCTGTGTTCCATTCGATTCTTCTCTCCTAATTATTTCTATGATTTGAGGGCTGAAGCCGTGTATTTCTCGAATGTAGGATGATACAGACCTCCTGGGAATGTATTTGATCTCCAGCTTCTTGAACTATTTGATTGTCAAGAAGCATCCGATCATATTTTGATTTCTTTGTGAATATCCCAAGGGTTTATGGGATTTTGAGACCTCTTCAAGGGAATATGTATCCCTTTATATATGTGTGAATTAGGGTTTGGGTGGAGTAGCCACCACGTAACCCTAATAGACTCATAATATTTTCAGAGTTGTCTTGGATTTAGGATTTCTCTTGATCTGTTAAAATTTTTGTGTCTACACAAGTAATTAGTGATAAATTTGAGAAGAAATGCTTTGCTAGTTTCAATACGATCTTAACACGTTGCTTGGCAATTTTATTTTTCTTTGAAAAAATAATTCAATACTTGTGCTTTAGTGATTGACTGATCATTTCTTGGCAAATCTTATAGATGTTGAACACGGGGGGGGGG